TAATTTTTAAAATTACGAGCATGATCATATTCTTGTATTTTCAAAAAAAAAATTTAATATATAATTTTCAAGAAAAATAATTATTCTAAAAAAGAAAATGCATAATGGAAAACATCAAGTAATTTCAAAATAAATTAAAGGGATTTCGATTACCTCATCGTTGAATGTCGTTAAGGCGTTGTTTGCCACCTCACCTTTTTTTATTTTCTCTTCGTCTTCGGAGGAGCTTGATTCATCCCACTTTGTGTTCTTCTTCTTGCGTTCAAAGCAAGTAGTTCCGTTCTTTTTGTTCTTAAATTTTTGTTTCTTTAATTTTTTAAATCTCATTTGAAGTTCTTGTTCACCATCACTTGAGCTTATGCTCGAGTGGTCTTCAAATGTTCTATGTCCCAAATCCTTCCTGTTCTTAGGAAGGTTGTTTTGTTCATCATGTTCAGCATGTGCATTGCACACCATTTCATATGTCATCAATGAGCCGATAAGTTCTTCAAGTGGAAAAATATTTAAATCTTTTATTTCTTGTATTGCCATTACTTTTGATTCCCAAACTTTAGAAAGTGATCGTAAAACTTCACTAACAAGTTCAAAATTCGAGAAACATTTGCCAAGAGCTTTTAAACCATTGACGACATCCGTGAAACGGGTGTACATGTCAACAATAGTTTCTCTCGACTTTATTCGAAAAAGCTCGAAATCATGCATCATAAAATTTACATTAGAATCTTTTACACTACTTGTGCCTTCGTATGTGATTTCAAGAGTGTGCCAAATATCAAAAGCCGTTTCGCACGTAGAAATCCGATTGAACTCATTTTTGTCCAAATCACAAAATAAGGCATTCATAGCCTTTGCGTTTAAAGAAAAATATTTCTTCTCCAAATCCGACCATTCGTTCATCGGTTTAGAGGGAAATTGAAAACCATTTTCAAAAATATTCCATAAATCCAAATTCATAGAAATTAAGAAAACTCTCATTCAAGTTTTCCAATAAGCGTAGTCCAATCCGTTAAACAACGGTGGACGAACAACCGATAAGCCCTCTTGAAAGCCATGAAGAGCCATTTCTCTCAGGTGTAAATCCGAAATGAGAAATACCGGGCTCTGATACCAAATGTTAGGATCAAGAGCACTAAGGGGGGGGGGGGGTGAATTAGTGCAGCGGATAAAAACATCAACTTCGTCAAATCTCTCATACGATAAAAATCGTTTTCGATGTAAAACCGATTTCGGAAACTTAACTTGAAAGCATATGTAAATGTATTGAAGGCAATAAGCTATTGAAGGGGTTTGCAGTAAGGTAATAGCAGGAAATAAAATGTAAACCATAGAAGACGGGAGTTTATAGTGGTTCGGTCAATCGTGACCTACATCCACTCCTCCGATTATTCTTTCGTCAAGGCCACCGGCATCCACTAACGATCTTCCTTTACTAGGCGAAGATCAACCTCCTTCTTACACCCCTCTTCTCCTTTTACTGGGTTTAGGAGACCACCCTTACAAGCACTCACTCTCCTCTCTAAACAGAATTCTAACACTTAGAATTTAGAGGAGGGAAATTCTAGAGATTACAGCAACGTTTTCTCTCTTTTAATCTCTTTGTGCTTGTATAAATTAACCAGGGATGAGAAGGGTATTTATAGGCCCCAAACCAGTTTGAATTTGGAGCTCAAAATTATAATCTCCCGGAATTCCGGGGTCTAACGGTTGCACCGCCTGACAGGGGCGGTTGCACCACTTGGCATTGCTCGGAGATCGAGCTTAGGCAGTTCCACCACCTGTCAGGGGCAGTTGCACCGCCCAGTCTTGCTCGGAGACTGAGCCCAAGCGATGCCACCGCTTGACTGGGAAATCTGGGTCCGAATGGGCTGATCCATTCGACCCAATTTGGGTCTGTCAAGGGCCTAATTTCCCCAAGATTAAGTTAAAGGGATCACCTCCCATTTCTAACTTAATCATCGTGCTAACTATGATATTTCTTACGACATTTACTGCAACTTGCTCCGGAGTATCACTCGCTTCTTCCGGCGAGCTTCCAATGAACTTCCGTCGATCATCCGATGAACCCTCGGTGATGCTCCTGTGGACTTTCGGCAAACTCCTGGACTTGCGACGATCCACTTGGCGAGTTTCAATAAGCTTCTTTTGGCAAGCTCTTGGACTTCTCATATTTGTTCCCGCAGAACCTCCGACGACCATCCGGACTTCCGTCGAACTCTCGAACTCCCAACGTTAACATAGTCTGGACTCCGGCGCAACTCCTGCTGCATGTCTTACTTTCATCGTAGTTAATCCTGCACATGTAAAACAAAACTTCGATCGAGACAATTAATCCTAAGCAATTAACCAAGTTGTTCGGTATGTCATTGGTCCCTCGACGCTTCGTCCGATTCTTCGGCTCATCGTCCTCTCGTACGGTCTATTGCCCAATCGGTCAGTTGACTCCGCAACTCCGATATCCTTGGCGCAATACCCGCTCTTCTTAGCCCGATGCCCGAGTCCACGGCCCGAAGCCTTCTATCGATACGTCGACTGATCCACCGGCCCGACGTCCAATTTTCTGACATGCTCCTCCGGCACAACATGATTTTTCCTCCTTTAATTGTTTCATCCTGATCGAAGCATCATGCGTCTTTCAAAACGAAGATTAAATCATAAACATATATCAAGTGGTTTCATCATCAAAATATGAGATTCAACACTTTTGACATTTACGACATTTACAATAACACACACCAACTCATAATTTTAGATAACATTGCAAGCAAATTTCTTTAAAAAATAATATATTATTAAATAATAAAAAAATACCATAATCTTCATGCAATTGAACTTATCAATCCAAAATTAACATGAGTGTGAGTGACAAGTTAATCTGAAAATTTTATATAATAATAATATGTGCTATAAATTAAATTTAAGAGAAATATGTATATTATTTTTTAGAAAATAATGATGGTGCAATCTCGTGGGAGATTAAGCCATTATCCACATATTATATGTGCTTTTTCTTGTTTGTTTTCTTGCAAAACACTGGGTCAGCACATTGGACTTATAATGGCTTGGGACCTTCAGCAGATTCAAGAGTATTTTCTCTCCCCTTAGCTTTCTGTAAAGTTGCAGGAAAAGCTGATTGAGGCTGGACCAGATTACTTATAGAATTTGCTCTGAAGAGGCAACTACATGGCATCTTTTTCCTTCCATGAGGAGCCAATTAATTGATCAGTGACGATTACAGGCAAACCTTTGTGAAAGATGGTAGAGAATCTATAGCTTTTTTTAACATTGGATCAGAGCCAAATAAGCTGATATAGAAAGCTTTCTAGCACATGTGAAGCGAGGACTGACCTGCTTTCATTTATACAGTATGATGATAGCATCACCAAGGAATTGATTGATGATGCTTCTGAGACCGAGCAGCAGAACGCCAGAGAGCCGGTAGCGATCTGCAGCAGGATCAGAGCATGAGCATGGCCTCTACCCAGTCCACGGCCTCCAAGGACACGCATCACTACCCGCACTTCGACGAGCTCCGGTGGGTGATCCAGATCCGCCACACGCTGGAGGAGGAGCACGACGACGACGTGGGCATCCCCGTGTCGGTGTTCAACGTCCCCAGATGCTTGCAGGTGACCAAGCCCGAGGCGTACGTCCCCCAGCTGATCGCCGTGGGGTCGTACCACCACTGGCGCCCGGAGCTGTACGAGATGGAGCGCTACAAGCTCGCCGCCGCGAGGAGGACGCAGAAGCAATTCCACACCATCAAGCTGCAGCACCTCATCGAGCAATTCACCAAGCTCGAGCACAAGATCCGTGCCCATTACCACAGGTCCCCAGTCTTCCCTCTTGTGCCGGCGATGCTAACTCGGATATATCAGACTGAACGAGTCTTGTTTACAGGTACCTTGATTTCAATGGAAATACGTTGGCGTGGTTGATGGCGGTAGATGTGTCGTTCTTGCTTGAATTCCTGCAAGTTTATGCTATCCAAGAAGAAGAAGGAAAAGGTAAGGTGCTCAGAAGGTTGTCTTCTCGGATGTCCCACTTGGTGGATTACACGGGGAGGAAGTCGGCGCACAACGTGATATTGAGAGATATAATGATGCTGGAGAACCAAATCCCACTCTTCCTGCTGCGCAATATCCTGGAGCTGCAATGCTCCTCGATAGAAGTCGCTGACGGCACGCTGACCAAGATGCTCACCGGCTTGCTCAAGGAGATCTCCCCTTTCAAGCTGATGGAGAACTTCCCCTGCATCGACGTCGCGCAGCACGCCCACTTGTTGGAGCTACTCTACAATGTCGTCGTCCCTAAAGCCGACGACGACGGCGACGACAACGAGATCGAGGAGCAGAACGACGAGGCAGCGGCGAAGGAGCAGACGTACGGGAATTCCGGCTACGTCAGGCAGCTTCTCGATGCGGTCTCGAAGATCGGATCGAGTCTCAACGGAGCTCCAATCCGCTTCATCAAGAGCGTCATCGTGTCGAGGCTCGTCAAGTTCGTGGTGCAGGTTCCTAGGAAGATCCTCACCAGCCTCCCGGGCTTCTCAATCGCGAAACAGCCGGACGAGTA